ACTAGAAATAATTAGAAATAACTAGAAATAACTAGAAATAACTAGAAATAATTAGAAATAACTAGAAATAATTAGAAATAACTAGAAATAACTAGAAATAACTAGAAATAACTAGAAATAACTAGAAATAACTAGAAATAACTAGAAATAACTAGAAATAACTAGAAATAACTAGAAATAACTAGAAATAACTAGAAATAACTAGAAATAATTAGAAATAACTAGAAATAACTAGAAATAACTAGAAATAATTAGAAATAACTAGAAATAATTAGAAATAACTAGAAATAATTAGAAATAACTAGAAATAATTAGAAATAACTAGAAATAATTAGAAATAATTAGAAATAACTAGAAATAACTAGAAATAACTAGAAATAACTAGAAATAACTAGAAATAACTAGAAATAATTAGAAATAACTAGAAATAACTAGAAATGATTAGAAATAACTAGAAATAACTAGAAATAATTAGAAATAACTAGAAATAATTAGAAATAACTAGAAATAACTAGAAATAACTAGAAATAACTAGAAATAACTAGAAATAACTAGAAATAACTAGAAATAACTAGAAATAATTAGAAATAACTAGAAATAACTAGAAATAACTAGAAATAACTAGAAATAACTAGAAATAACTAGAAATAATTAGAAATAACTAGAAATAATTAGAAATAACTAGAAATAACTAGAAATAACTAGAAATAACTAGAAATAATTAGAAATAACTAGAAATAACTAGAAATAACTAGAAATAACTAGAAATAACTAGAAATAACTAGAAATAACTAGAAATAACTAGAAATAATTAGAAATAACTAGAAATAATTAGAAATAACTAGAAATAACTAGAAATAATTAGAAATAACTAGAAATAATTAGAAATAACTAGAAATAACTAGAAATAATTAGAAATAACTAGAAATAACTAGAAATAACTAGAAATAACTAGAAATAACTAGAAATAACTAGAAATAACTAGAAATAACTAGAAATAATTAGAAATAACTAGAAATAACTAGAAATAACTAGAAATAACTAGAAATAACTAGAAATAACTAGAAATAACTAGAAATAACTAGAAATAACTAGAAATAACTAGAAATAACTAGAAATAACTAGAAATAACTAGAAATAATTAGAAATAACTAGAAATAACTAGAAATAACTAGAAATAACTAGAAATAACTAGAAATAACTAGAAATAACTAGAAATAACTAGAAATAACTAGAAATAACTAGAAATAATTAGAAATAACTAGAAATAATTAGAAATAACTAGAAATAACTAGAAATAACTAGAAATAACTAGAAATAACTAGAAATAACTAGAAATAACTAGAAATAACTAGAAATAACTAGAAATAACTAGAAATAATTAGAAATAATTAGAAATAACTAGAAATAACTAGAAATAACTAGAAATAACTAGAAATAACTAGAAATAACTAGAAATAACTAGAAATAACTAGAAATAACTAGAAATAATTAGAAATAACTAGAAATAATTAGAAATAACTAGAAATAACTAGAAATAACTAGAAATAACTAGAAATAACTAGAAATAACTAGAAATAACTAGAAATAATTAGAAATAACTAGAAATAATTAGAAATAACTAGAAATAACTAGAAATAACTAGAAATAACTAGAAATAACTAGAAATAACTAGAAATAACTAGAAATAATTAGAAATAACTAGAAATAACTAGAAATAATTAGAAATAATTAGAAATAACTAGAAATAATTAGAAATAACTCGAAATAATTAGAAATAACTAGAAATAACTAGAAATAATTAGAAATAACTAGAAATAACTAGAAATAACTAGAAATAACTAGAAATAGCTAGAAATAACTAGAAATAATTAGAAATAACTAGAAATAACTAGAAATGACTAGAAATAATTAGAAATAACTAGAAATAACTAGAAATAACTAGAAATAACTAGAAATAACTAGAAATAATTAGAAATAACTAGAAATAACTAGAAATAACTAGAAATAACTCAATGCACAAGATTAGTAAGTATGAGGAACGCCAACCATTTCTTTATCAACAAATGAGATAATAAACTAATAAACTTAGAATTCAGAACTTAGAACCATTAAAATGCACCTATACAAGGAAAAAAATAGCAGAATTAATCGCATTGTAGTCTTCAAGTATGTAAGTGACTGAGTGTTCAAATATGTAAGTAATGTTGTATTGAAGTATGTCGGCATTGCAATATTGTGTAAGTGATAAAATATTCAAGTATGTAAGTATCCATGGGTGTAAGTGATATGGTAATCAGATGTGTAGGTAATAGTGTACATCTATGTAAGTATGCATGTAATATAGTATTAAAATGTAAGTAATATCGTTTTCAGTAATGTAAGTAATGTGGCATTCAGGTATATAACTAATAACATTCCAAAATGTAACTTATATAGTAATCAACTATGTAAGTAATATAAGTATTCATTTATATAAATAATATAGCATTCAACTATGTATGTGATATTCCTGTAAGTGACGAAGTGTTCAAGTATGCAAGTAACATAGCATTCAAGTGTGTAAATGTAATTTAGAACCGGGTCATCTCCCTTCCAGAACTAAAAAAAAACAAAAAACGAAAAAAATGGAAAATAGACAATAAAAAAAACGATATAGATGCACACACAAGACAAAGTAAACTCACGCTTTCTTCCCTTGAAATCGTGAGTTATGTAAGGTCGCGGTACGTTTTCTTATATAATGATTTTAGTTTTGATGACCTATAGTTAGGTAGGAATGATGAAATGTAGTGTTGATCTAATGGGAGAAGGAGAAAGAGGAGGAGGAGGAGAGAGCTTGCAATTAACCTATTGTGTTTATTTATTTATTTATTTTATCTATATATTTGTCTATCTGTGTCTGTCTGTCAATATATCTATCTATCTATCAGTTAATCAATATGTATCTCTCTATCTATCTATCTATCTATCAGTCAGTCAATTAATATGTATCTGTCTATCTATCTATCTATCTATCTATCTATCAGTCAATCAATATGTATATGTCTATCTGTCTATCTATCTATCTATCTATCAGTCAATCAATATGTATCTGTCTATCTATCTATCTATCTATCTATGTACCTATCGATGTATTTATTTATTTATCTATTGCTCTATTTATTTATCTATTTATTTATCTATTGTTTCCGTCATGTTATTCCTCAGAAAATCTTGACCATACGAGGATAACAGATCTGATCCACCGGAGTCTGTGGGATACTGAACATTTTGTTTGTTTGTTTGTTTTTTTGTGCAGGGACGATTCTAGAGTACCGTGTGATATTCCTGATTTTTTGGCGAAGACGATAAGCTATAGATATGCGTTGTTATTACTGTAGGAGAAGACTGTGAAGTTCTTATCAGTTACGTGAACAAATCTTTCCCAGAAGTAGTGAGGTTCCAGGCAGTTCCATCGGCGAATACAATGGGTTTTCTAGAAAAAAGTGAGGTTTACAAGCACCAGGCATTACGTCTTAAACGTTTCCTAGGGACATGAACGGTAGATATGAAAGGAAAATTACTGCTGGTCGAGAAAAAAAGGGTTTGGTTTGAAGATCTCTTTGGCGAATCACCATAACCAAAGGAGCACTTCACTACACATCACTACCCATTCAAGTCATATCAAGGTACACCATATTACGTCTAAGCACCAGACATTCCCACAAGGAATACTAAAATTCGTTACTATCTACCCTCTAGACTACCCATAAAAGGTCTCTCTCTGTTAGGATTTTAACATACAGTTCTCTTTAATACTCTGATACACAGACCAAGGGTATTCCATTTCTTGTCTCCTCACCTCCCTTGTCCTTTCTGATGAATAATAGCACCCAGTGTGACTCTTATCTGATAAAGGGAGCAAACAGCGGAGGAAAGACAATGCGCCCAGTTTCTGCAAACGCCCTGAGTGACGTGGTTGAGGTGACGTAGCTAGTAAATACAGAAATAGCTCAGGTTACCACTCAGTCTGGTGTAACCTAGGCTGGGGAGAAAGAAACAGGCGAGGTGTGTGTGTGTGTACATGTGTGTGTGTATATATATATATATATATATATATATATATATATATATATATATATATATATATATATATATATATATATATGTGTGTGTGTGTGTGTGTGTGTGTGTGTGTGTGTGTGTGTGTGTGTGTGTGAGTGTGTGTGTGTGTGTGTGTGTATTCTTTTCTCTCTCTCTGGCTTTACCTTTGTCTGTTTCATCTTCCTTTTCCATTTTTCATTTTTCTCTTTTTATTTTTTTCTATCTCTTTCTTTTCTTCTTTCTTATCTCTCTGTTTTTCCTTTGTTGTCCTCCCTCTCTCTCTCTCTAACTCCCCCCTCTCTCCCTCTTTCTCTCTCTCTCTCTCTCTCTCTCTAACTCCCCCTCTCTCCCTCTTTCTCTCTCTCTCTCTCTCTCTCTCTCTCTCTCTCTCTCTCCTCTCTCTCTCTCTCTCTCTCTCTCTCTCTCTCTCTCTCTCTCTCTCTCCCCCCCCCTCTCTCTCTCTCTCTCTCCCCCCCCCCCCCTCTCTCTCTCTCTCTCTCCTCTCTCTCTCTCTCTCTCTCTCTCTCTCTCTCTCTCTCTCTCTCTCTCTCTCTCTCTCTCTCTCTCTCTCTCTCTCCTCTCTCTCTCTCTCCCTCCCTACCCCCGCTCTCTCTCTCTATCTATCTCTATCTCTATCTCTCTCTTTCTCCCTCTCTCCCTTTCTTCTCACGTTCCTTTCTTCTCACGTTCCTTTCATAACAAATATTACTTTTGAATAAAATGCTCATATGTGTGCAATATGTTGGTGAAATTAACACATGCTGCAGTTGCACGCTGAGTTACAGATTCACAGGTGTTGCATAAAAGTTGCAGACCTGCTTTCGCACAGCTGATTTCAAATGATGTGTTAAATTTTATCGATGTCAGGAATCTCATGAACGTGTTACATGCTAGCGATATGTTGGAATCTTAAAATGGGTTCAATTCTTGAGGATGTGTTAGATTCTCCTCACAGTGTTATAAAGTCTCGGAGTGTGTTAGAGTGTGTTCGGATCTTATAGCGAGTTAAACTCTCATGAGGTATTAAAGCTTTTGTGATGTGTTAAATTCTAACTATCTCTAGTCTTGCGGTGTTCGATTATAACACTGTGTTAAAGGCTTGTGGTGTGTTAACTGCTAACGGTAGGTTAAAATCTTGTTATGAGTTAAAATCTTATATTGTGTTAGTCTCATCATATGTGTTAGATTCTGATGTTGTGTGAATCTTGTGTGTTAAATTCTAATTAGATCTTAGGGTCTTACGATGTGTTAAATCTCTTTCTTGTGAATAAAGCAGGGAGAAGGGAAGAAGGAGACAGAGACAGTGAGAGAGAGAGAGAGAGAGAGTGAGAGAGAGAGAGAAAGAGAGAGAGAGAGAGAGAGAGAGAGAGAGAGAGAGAGAGAGAGAGAGAGAGAGAGAGAGAGAGAGAGAGAGAGAGAGAGAGAGAGAGAGAGAGAGAGAGACAGAGAGAGAGAGAGAGAGAGAGAGAGAGAGAGAGAGAGAGAGAGAGAGAGAGAGAGAGAGAGAGAGAGAGAGAGAGAGAGAGAGAGAGAGACAGAGAGACAGAGAGAGAGAGAGACAGAGAGAGAGAGAGAGAGAGAGAGAGAAGAGAGAGAGAGAGAGAGAGAGAGAGAGAGAGAGAGAGAGAGAGAGAGAGAGAGAGAGAGAGATTTGATTTGATAAATCTATTACGTCCAGTGGATAACAAACAACTTTACAGAGAAGTACTAAAGGTGCATGACCGTGTCTTGCAGGGCACGTTGTGAATTATATATACACACATATTCCTATGAATATGTATACTCACAATCGAGAGAGAGAGAGAGAGAGAGAGAGAGAGAGAGAGAGAGAGAGAGAGAGAGAGGAGAGAGAGAGAGAGAGAGAGAGAGGAGAGAGAGAGAGGAGAGAGAGAGAGAGAGAGAGAGAGAG